TTTAATTGTTTTAGCTTTCACATATGTTAAACTGTAGTGCTTAGAACTTATTTTGAGGTGTTTATTTCTATTCACGTATGCAGGTGTCTGAATAAGCTCAGCGTTTCATCAAGACCTTGTTGTTGCAGTTTGTTGGGCTCAATGGAGGTTGGGAAATGCCTTCACGGATGTGTTCATAGTATTGCAGCCCGATCGCAGCTGGCCCTCAGAGCAGGGATCTGCGACAGCCTGTGATGGTTAGTTTTCTGCCAAATCACTGCTCTGGGGACCCTGGACAGCCCACCGTCTTTGTCTCATCTCCTGCAGCAGTCTCTAAATTATCACCCCCCCTCTGCTGCCTTGGCCAGCCCTGTGCCCATAGAGCCTTACTTAGCTCGCCTTCTAGCTTGGGCTGTATTACTGAACAGCATTGAGTTGAAAGACTGAACTTAATAATAAATGTTTTGACTAGGTATGTTTCAAAATAAAGTTATAAAAATTGTGCTCTGATATCCTTACTTACAGATTGCTTGTGTGCGCGATATTTGCACTGAGCAGTTTTTTTGGCTAATGTTTTTAGCTAATACTTGATGGAACAGTCTAGTTACAATTGCTTGCAAGACTGAGAAGGAATTTGTTGTGAAAAGTAGGCAGTAACTAGACTTGTGCAGTCATGCTCCGCCGCGGTGGTCTAGTGGCTAAGGTACTTGGCTGCTGACCCGCAGGGCGTGGGTTCGAATCCCGGCTGCGGCGGCTGCATTTCCGATGGAGGCGGAAATGTTGTAGGCCCGTGTGCTCAGATTTGGGTGCACGTTAAAGAACCCCAGGTGGTCTAAATTTCCGGAGCCCTCCACTACGGCGTCTCTCATAATAATATAGTGGTTTTGGGACGTTAAACCCCACATATCAATCAAACTTGTGCAGTCTTATACCCAATGTGTGGGAAGGGTAATGGGCAACGCAAAAAAAAGGCATAAATGGACAATTTAGTGGAATTGTGCACTCTTTCTACATTAGGTCATCTAGTGGTCAATCGCCTTGAAGTATACTACACCGCGAAGATTGTACGGGGTGGCTATAAGCTGCTAGGTGAACTTCTGGGGGCCTAATGTAAAGTCGAACGGCTAAGGAGTGGCAGTAGTAAAAGCCTGTAATAATAACAGTGGAATATTTGCAAGCCAGTCTTAGCCAATGTTCGTTGTAAGGCGAATGTTGGCGTAATAAGGACATTTCATTGGCAACAACGTGGCCCGAGAATGGTCTTATGCTGGATGTATGTCGGCCACTACATCGGTGGAAGGACCCGCCTTCATTGGCACGTGTAGAGTGGGTTGGTGTTGGCAGAATATTGCTAAATGCAACTGCAGAACGTTAGTACCAGATTAATTTTAACATTGGGGCGACATCGGAAGAAGTTGCACTTGGACCGGATTCAACCTTGGGCTAATATAGCGGCTGACGTTAGCCGCCGCCACGGGTCCAAGATTGGTCCAACGCTGGAGTGCTTCTTGGGATGCTGTGATTTTTCTAGGTTCCTTTACTGAATGTGCTCGTTTGTGCACGTACACGCGCACTCAGACACACCAGGCTACCTGGAACTGTCGGAAAATACTTGACTTTTTGATTACCTTGCAAAAAAAAAAAAATCCAACCCCAGACTGCATCGTGTTAAGCTTAGATAAAGTACGATGGCCGTGCCACTTCAGCGCGATTCAGAAGGGGAGAACAACGCTTATCACTATGCAAGAAACAGTGATTAAAACTTCCGGCTTTATATGATGACAGCGGAATGAAACTTTTTTACTGAATTTCTCATGGTTACTTTCATTCAATCGTGATCATGTGAAGTATGTATCGTTGTACTCGTATACTTCAATGTGAACAAGCGCTTGAAAGCAAGGGATAACTATTTTATGAACAGAAACTTGCCAATTGTTTCCGGCTGGCAATAACCATGCGTGTCAACAGCGTGCTGCCAACTACTGAGCTCGTAAAGCGAAGGAGAAGGAGAAGGAGACAGAAACAAATAAAGAAGATAAGTGCTTCTAGAGATCTGGACGCTACTAAGAAAGCACGCGGATTGTCTCGACCATCGACACTTGATTGTCTCGACCATTGACAATGGTGATTAGGGGAAAATTTGGCCACTAGGCGAGGCGCGTTGGCGAGATAATTGGTCATGATTTATAACTTTTAATCACGTAGGAAACGCTACATTGAAAAAGAGGGAGGGCACATGCACCACCCACACACACACCTGTTGTCAATTTATAGGTAGCATACGTGATCGCAAATAAAACGTTCTGCTCTAAGTTAGCGCTATGTGTTTGTCTCTATCCTGTTTCCCTGTGATGATGCACTACATCATTTAAAATTGCAATGTGTAGGTATTGAAAGGAGAAATACAATGTTCTACACATAAAGTAAAATAAAAGGGGATAGCTACGAGAACCCGGTGACTGGTGATAGCATTTGGTAAATAATTTTTTTTTATCATTGAGAGCTTTAGCTTAACATCACCTAAACCGTGTACTTTGTTTCTCCTCATTGGTGTTCAGAACACGCAACCAAAGAAATATTCTAAGACGACACAGGAAGATCACTTATCCCTCATTCATTCGCCTGATAATATTTGAAAGCAACAGCCATCCGGTGTAGCAATTATTAATAATAAATAGTCAGACATTTGGAGTACTGTTTATTTCAAGCGAACACTGCATTTTTATATTTTTGTTTATGCCAATGGTAATGCACTGATCACGTGACCACAAGATGTTTTTTGCTTCTTATATGTTTTACATGATTTTGTTCGTGCTGTTCAAACCGGTTTCTCCTAAAGAATGTCACATTAGTACAAAACATACAAGCTTTCCACTTCAAATAATGTTGGCAGATATTTCAGCAAATATTTGTTTGCAGAAGATATCTGGCTCTTCAAACGTTGCGGGAATACATTGCGAAAAATGGTTGAAGACCTAAATCAAGTATGTTTTAAACTGGGCGAATGACTGCTGCCCGTTCAAATAACTAAATTTATACTGGTATATACAGTATAACATTTATTTTTAAGCCCCAGGAGGACGCTTGAAAATATCACTTCCGAGAGCTACCATACTAAAGGTATTCTTTAAATAGACATGTATACACTATCATACGCACGTTCGTCCTTATCCTATACTTACGGCCCTAAATAAAATGATGAGTTCAAGGCAAGTCTGTATATATAGTGGGCGTAATGTTTGTATAAACTGATAACCCCGTTAAGCCCGTACCTGAATGTTGCATCACAATTATTTTGTGTGCCAAACATTTCAGACACTGTGCTTTGTCGTGTATCTATACACTAGCGAAATGTGAGGTCAAGCATTTCGCTGAAATATTTCTCGTCACAATTTATTTTTTAGAGGAATGAGATATTTTATTCTTCTTTAGAGCAAATTTAGTTTAGCGCGCTGTCATATGGTATTCTGAGGCAAAAGTGGCACAATTTTGGTAATGAACTCACGGACTTATAAAACTCCCAGTATCTCAGAAAACGAGTGCACGTCAAGTACACGCTGGTGCTGTTATTTGCGAAAGTTGAACGCAGCGCTAGCGGTCAGTTTTCTTCGTACAAATTTGCCCAATAATTACAAAATTGTTGGAGGTTTAGCGCTCGCGTGTGGTATTTTTTTTCTGAAGCTCTTGTGTCTAAACCAGCCTTCAGTGACTATACCAAAAGACTGTTCAATCACCTTGGCTAGCACTAAACTCATCAGGACAGGCTACAAGTGAAAGGATCAATTCATGGGTGTGCTTCTAAACGTTTTTTATTATTGACTTGATTATATAGGATCAATAGACTGTGTCACCAAACCTGAATGGCTCTACTAATTTCTACATGGTTGTATCACTCGGGATTGGCGGAGTAGCAGTTTCTCTAGGAGGTGACAAATCCTCATGAGAATGCATGTGATCTTGACAAAGGTGAGAACATCGGTATAAGAGAATAGTCAACTAAAACAGAACATGTAGACGAAATAGTTCGTCGCTGTAGGTACTTACCATTGCATAGTTTGAGAGTCAAGTGTTACTGTCACTGAGTGCCAGTAACAGCCTGATATAGTAACCAAAAAACAATGTGGTTACGTTCGTAGCTAGAGTTGAATAAACACCAGCGACTCAATCATGCCGAGTGCTCAGTACATCACCTCGACCAGTGAACATCATTTTCCCCAAAGATTCTCGCCCTCGACCAAATCAAAGGAGACCAATAGCAATCCATATTATCCGTGAAATCTCCCGCTATGAAGTTTAATCGTTCAAATGTTAGTGGATCAGTTCTGAGGGCACACTGCGCCCAAATACGTTATATTTCACAAAACAAAAATGGACAGATGAATTTCGGCGAACACCGCCTGCAGTCTGATATGTTTCTTTTTTATATGGAACACGGCAACATTGTGTATATCGGTAAATGTCAACGGTGAGGAGATAGCGAGATTTTTAATTCATCAACACCGGACAAAACCGATAATATCATGTGACTGACCATCGACAATTTTCCTCAGTGGCCTTATCTCAGTACCAGCCAGACGCAGCAGCGGAAACTCAGAAAAGATCAGTCAAACGTAAACGTGAATTTCCAGCTTCAAGTTTACCAACAGAATTCACCTCGAGGTAATGTGTTAAAGCGCACAAAAACAGAGATCCCGGATCGACAATATTTATGAAACTTTTTCTTTCTTTATGCAGTTTTCCACTTGCTATACTTGTTTGTGCTCCCTCTGTATCACAACGGATCACCAAGGCGCATTTTCAAAAACAAAGCAGGCAGCTTCAATGCAAATTCATTTATAACAAGTTTATTAGTTCTTATTGATTGCACAGAATTAATTCGACCAGCAAAGTAAGCGGCATGTAGCCGACTGGTCAACCACGGCATCCAGGTTAATGTTATGACGTATCGACTTTAAAAAATAGAATCAGAATTTGTTTCGCGTCCCGGAGAATTCATCCATCATTTCGTAATAGAGGGTCCACGCCTTCCTTGTTATCTAGTTGCGGTAGCAAGTGCAGGTCAGCTTGAAGGTCCCGGCGCAATAGCCTCCAAGACGACCGATGCTACGGCAGTGGGTGTGGCAATTACCCTGGAATACAGGGCAACCGAAACCCCGGCCTGGAACAGAGAAAATACGAATAGGCTTCTTTCTTCATTGACACTTATTTCACTAAAGGAAAATAGAAAAAGAAGATAATGGTACCACCCTCGTATAGATCAAAAAAGGAGGGGCAATGAATATTGTTGCGTGTGGGGCACTTTTTTCAGCATGAACAAACTAGCCCAAAACACGTTTTAGTCACTAAAGCAACCTGTACTGATCTGTTTCATTGGCCATTATATAGCCACAGCGCATAATTGAAGTATCATTATGCGTAAGCAACGTCATTGTTACCCTCCTAACTTGTGTTTTCGATAGTGCCGCTACTGTTCTGTAAATATTCACGGTATTACCTTGTATCCTGCATTAATGCAGGAGGTTCAAATTACCCCTTCCATAGAAATGATACGCTGTCAGTTTCAGAGCTGTGAAATTTCCCCGGAAAATATATTGGTCAAAGCAGCGTTTAGTGGATATTGCATACTATATTTATTTCTCTGCACATCCATACTTGCTACAATAAGTAGGCAATCAGTATGGAAATTATTTATGCGAGAAATGGGCTACTTGAAGTGCGCTTCCTGATTTTTGTGAATAAATACGACCTAACGTGTAAGCAAATGAGCTTCCTGTCTGTGTGGTGTTACTACAGCACCGTAACGCAGTTAGCTTTGTTAGGGCGATATCCGAATTCGGTTTCAATAAACATGAAAGCAGTATTCGCCGATAAAATGAACCACACGTCTTGGAAAAGCAGTAGCCTATACCAAGGGTGCAACGCCAAAGTTTTAACATGACCAAAACATCAGAAAAAAATAAAGCAATATATATTGGCTCGCATACCATATTGACTTTTTAGAATTTTCGTTTTAGCCTTGACTGCACCAATTATTCAATTTTTAAACCATCCCTTTCTGAACATATTCAGGTTGTAAAAGAATTTTATCTCTAAAACAAGGGCCCACCACTTTCATGGCCAATCACCCTTGGTGCGTTGCGCCAAGTTATATGGAACAACGAAACAACAAAAACAAACGCGAATCTTGCAGTATACCGTCAGAAATACTCCAGCAGTGGGAAGTGTGCAAGACGTGACCCACAACAGGAATATGATTGAAATACAATTTTCTTTGATTGAAGATTGAAGTAGGCGATATTATCCAGAGCATGTGTTTATGCAGACTCCAGTGTCTGCAGGCCTTAACTAATTATTTTCAAGTACCATCAGTGCCTTAACTTGTAGCTTCCCTTAAGGTAGAAATAGGATTTTCCACAAATCTAGGTATGCCAATCAAAGCACTTCTTACGAAACTAAAATGTATGCTGTAAGTATAAACAACTGTGACAACAAAAATACGTCGTCCTAAATGAAGTCCAGGTAGAACTTGGCGTTGAAAAACCGTGGGTCAACCAGATTGCACTAGTGGTTAAGGCCATTGAGACCCTTTACTAGAGCTCCCAGCAAATATCAATAGATTAACCCTGAATACAGGTTTTCATTTGTTTTGGGTAAGGAACGTAAGGTAATAATAATAATAATAATAATAATAATAATAATAATAATAATAATAATAATAATAATAATAATAATAATAATAATAATAATAATAATAATAATATTAATAATAATAATAATACGATTTTTGTAACCGCGCATGCAAATGAAGTGGAATTATGTTATGTTCAGGTATCAAATCGATGCATTTATAATCCTTAACCTCAACACTCTTCCTCAACCTACTCTTTATATTTGTCGTTCTTAGTTTTAATCCATTCTGCATGAGCAGCAACAATGCTCATCTAACATAAGTTGAGGTAATCCCAGTTTAAATACAACTGATGCCACCTGCCTCACGAATGAGTTCTCTTTTATGGACCTGTTCTCCTCGCCTATATATCATTGACCCCCGCCTGTAACCCCTCAGCTACGTCGATAGTTTCTTCTGTTTAACTCCCCTAGAATGCTCTCAACATCCTGTGATTGTGTTAGCCGTTGACAGTTAGGATTGCATAAGCTTTGATGTCGTTATTTTGCAAGTTGAACGATAACTCCAGCTCTCGGTCAGTGAATACATTGAAATTTCATTGCCATATACCGACTCATATCCGCACTTTAGCGGCCGCCGCTACACAACTCACCCGGTTGCTGATTTTTGTTCTCACCGGATACACTTTGCCTTTGGCAGTTCTTTGTGACGATCGGAGCACGATACTCTTTTTATAATAGTGCATATTTGGTCAATGCAATTTTTGTACATGCACAAGTGTGAACCTACGAATACTTCTATACCGTTTCGTATTTTGAACGTACTTACAGCTATTATTTTTGTTTACTTTCTCTCTGCTGTACTTTTGTTGTTTCTGTTATGTCATACGTCGTAATCGACTTTATTATCCCTTTTTTCTTAACGGCAAATATAATTTTGCGTTACTCGTCTGTTTATTTTTTAACAAATTTTTTTTGTTCATACTGTACTGAAGCATAGTGGCGCCAGCTCTGTGCCAGCGTGAAAAGAGACTTTGACGTCCGTGTGTGGCTCGTGCTTGCCGGGTTGTTGCCTGTGCCAGCTTCTTGCGGCTAACGTTTCTCGAATAATAACCTGTGTTTTTACGCAACCTTGCTCGTTGCATTTGGTGGAAACGTGCTGGGTAACGTCCTGGAGCTCCGCAGCCGTAAGCTACCATCTCAGTCTGCGATGACTGAGCGCGTCGATCCCCCATAAGGCTTTTTCACACTGGCACAGAGCTGGTGCCACTATGCTTCGGTACAATACATATTTACGGGTTTTTCTGTTTTTTTTATTTTACAGTTTTTATGCCTCGCGCAACATTATATGTGGAGCTCAGCGGCTGGCTTAGACAGTTGCGGTTATTGGAATACTTTTTCTCGTTTTTCCCCGCTAACTTTCGAGACGCATAGCGCGCGCTTTTGTGGGGCGGTGGTGATGAGATGAACACGACAGAAGGGATGCTAAGCTGAAGATTGGAGAATCTCTGTCAGTGCTCGGGGCAACTTTTCGGTATAATTGGACGGAACAATGCAAGCCCCGGTCCTTGGGTCATATATGTGTCATCAACGAATATCTTTACGTGGACCACTATTCCATGTATCGTAGTGGCACTCAGTGTTCGTATCAGTGCATTGCTGTCTGGTGTCGCCTGGCCACAGAATTCATTCTCTTTGGCCACCAGCATTCACCTAAATAGCTGCGATAGAGCCACGTTTACCACCAGCAATTACAGAGGAGCACACCATTGTGCTTGCGTTGCGTTCAATTAGCGATCGCCTACCTCACAGTCATTAGTGCGAACACTGAATGTTTGTGCGGCTGCACGTGTTCCTCTGCCGATTCATCGGATTTACAATGGTTGGTGTAGGGCATCAATAATTGCAAAGATGCGGTTTTCGTTTAACTGCTAGTGTGTTCTATGAAACACGCAAAAAATTTATTAAGCATCATTGTGACTGATGAATTAGTACACATCGAAGATGTTTGCTATACTGGTCTTCGCTTTTTGAAATCTCTCGCTATCGAAAAAATAAAAACGGCATTTGTAGCTTATCCGTGCGTGTTTCAGCACGCTGGGTGATATTGGAAACGCTGTATAGTGTGTCCCAGCTTAAAAAAGCGCGGTGGGTACCCCTGGGACACACTGTACAGCGGGACCAGTGTCGCCTAGAGCAGTGAAACGCACTGGACCAGTCTCTATAGCTGGCCCAGTGTCTTGAAGAGCGCTGCAAAGCACTAGTCACGCTGTACGGCCTACAGCGCAGTGGGAACATTAGCGGCACATTGGAAGAATCTGGGCGTGATTGGTGCATTTCCTGAAAGACTTGATATCGAATCGCGAGATGTCGATCATAAATTTTACTGAATATGATGGTATATGTGTTACACAAATGTAGCTTTACTTTTAGTTAGGCATTGGAAATGCGAGCACGCTAAAGCAATCATAGCGTGCGGGCGGAGAGTGGTGCTAGGATTTTTTTTTCTCTGTGGGGGGTGGGTCACAGATGACAATTGTGTTCCTTCAGGGAGCAGAGAGGCCCAGAACTTATGCGTCGTATTTTGACTATGTTTGCTCTTGGGTGGGGTGGGGAGCGTGATAGGCGGAATGCAAGTAATATTTGGGCAAGGCTCCAGCGCACCAGGACCCTCCTGGCACGGGTGCGCTTTCTTTGAAATGTGATCGTGTTTTGTTAATGTATTTTATAAACTGTACAACTATAAGTGATAATTTGCAACACAGTATGACAGAACTATTATTCTGATAATTGAAATCAAGCTATTTTAACAGTCAGTCATTCTGGCTCGTACCCCAGAAAGCCGCACGTCCCCGGAAGCAGTTAGCTGCTGGAATGCCCAATCTCGGTGTTTCTAGCTTGAGATTTGTTTTACCGAAGGTGACTATATTACATCGCATGGGTCAGTTATGGTAGAAACTACACTTTCACGGGTACAATACACTTCTTAACTGAATATGTACGGTCTTCACAGTTACCGTGCCCCCCGAAGTACGGTTTAAGCTTAAGGTTAGTTCGGCTGAACTGCTACGACTGCTCTACGCCGAACGTAAGCGAGGACGAGAGAAAAAATTGGCAGATCTGACGTACTGTGACAATCGATGATATGCGAAGCACGAAGGAAAATGTATAATATGTCACAATCAAATCAGCGCAACATTAAGAGCCGAGTGCAAGTTACGCCACGCATGACTTCGAAGTCATTATTATCATCTTTGCGCTCGGCATTTGTGTTTTTCGTCCATTCACGTCACGTAATACAAAATTAAGCATATATGATGCAAGCGAAACGGCCACGAGTGCGCTATGAGCGTAGCATGTAGTCACGTTTGATATGAAACTCACATCATGATTATCATGTTTTGATGTATCATTTGGCTTCATCATCTATTCTGGTCACATATTACCAAATTTGTTATAAGTAAACCTAGCAAAACGGCCGAGAGCACGCTATGAGCGTAGCATTTAGTTATGAATCGCATGACACGCATATCTTGATTATCATGTTTGAACGCGTCCTTTACGGTCGTCGTCAATGCAAGTCAAGTAATACCTGATTAAGGAAAATGAAAAATCAGCGAAACGACCTTGAGCGCATCATCACGTGGCATGTTGTCATGTTCTTAGATGGCCCTGACGTCATTATTATCACGTTTCAACCAGTCATATACTTCGTTATTCGTTATTCGTTATTCATTCACGTTCCATAATACAAAATTTTGTGTATGTCAAGTTAGCCAGACGACCAGGAGTGCACCAGGAGCGCGGCTTGTAGCCATGGCTTAGATGACATGCTTGTCATGATTTCCACGTTAGTGCATGTCATTTTTGTTCGCCATGCAGTTATGTCATACTTTACCAGTTTTGCAATATGTTATGTGAACGAAACCACCTCACGATCAGCAAGACCATGAGATGTATATTCTGACATTCGTGGCATACATGTCTTGATTTTCACGTTATGACTGGCCAGTAATCTCCTCATACAGTGATGTTATGCCACGCCGATTTTGGTATAGATTACTGTATTGAAACAGCCAAGAGAGATTAAATTCGTAGGTTGATAGATAGATAGATAGATAGATAGATAGATAGATAGATAGATAGATAGATAGATAGATAGATCGATAGAAAGATAGATAGATAGATAGATAGATAGATAGATAGATAGATAGATAGATAGATAGATAGATAGATAGATAGATAGATAGATAGATAGATAGATAGATAGATAGATAGATAGATAGATAGATAGATAGATAGTATCAAAGTCACCGACGTTTGCGAAGAATTGCTTCGCACTTCCAAATAATCTAGAAAAATACTCTGGTGTGTGGATTCGGAACGCGTGACATCTTGCTTCAGAGTGCGTAGCGTTCGCCAATGATTCACGAAGGAGCACCTCCTTCAACGTTGAAACAGCAAGCTATATACATCTACCAGTTACTGCTGTCGATGGTGATTTCGGGGGCACTATCGTGTTTTCAGCATTCCCAGCGACATGGCGCACTGAGCACGCGTCACCAGATCGTCAGGACGCGGTGGCGCGCACTCACGCTTTGATATCCCACGCGTAATTTGCCCCACGTTGGGTGGAGGGGGATGTAGATTTTAACGCGTGCGCACGCTCACCTCGTGGTGGGGACAATCGTACGCCTTAGGGTTTCACTGGAACGATTATGCTGTATTTACGGCGCGCGCAACAATCACTGCACTCGCTGCACAGTCTACGTTTGCGAAAAGGGCACACTTTTCAGGCACAGCGAAATAACAACTGAGGCAAATACTTGCGCTCATCTGTATCTGTGAGTCTGTTTCGTGCGTGATTTGTGTGTGGGCAACGAGGGACACATTCGGATCTGCTTTCTTTTTTTAACGTGACATTTATAGTTGTTGCTATCACATTCATTGCTTCATATTTGCGGCTTAGCTGTGAGGTTTCCTCAGACTTGCATCATCTGATTTGAAGCAACTGTAGGAAGAGATTAAGATGCACACGTACTATTCGATATAAGTATACTTACGGACTCGAACGTGAGGCACTTTACTGTCACCGTCTTGAGCAACCGTGGTGTTTATCAGTCCTGCGCAGATATAACTTTTTGAAGCACTTCGCATTTAATCATCGTCCTTTTCGACAGACTCACTGGCAGCTCTTGATCAACATGAACAGCTTATTTTCGTTGTAGCACCACAGCACTCTAATGAGTAATTACTTCAGTATTCGGGCGTGCAAGTAACCACCAGTATATATGGCAACAATGCTGACGCTTTAATTGCATTTATTAGACACTTGAAGACCGGTTAACTACCCCAGCATTGTATTAACAATTTCACAGGTCATTCCTTCAGAAGTGTTATACAAGAATGCACACTATACGAAAGTTACAGATTGTTCTGCAGAGAAATGAAATGAGATATTCAGTGACGAGCTTCGAAAAAAAAAAACAATAAGAAGATGGTTCGCAGCAATAGTCATTTTTTCAAGTAAACTTAAGTGATGTAACACTGCTAATCATTCGAGTGACAGAGTCATGGGTTATTGCAATATAAGTTGAAACTGTCTCAAGAATATGAGGGTTTTTCGCTTTCCCTTTTACAGCGAAGTCTGTTATAAGATCAAGTTTCAGGTCACGCACAGTGTTTATCCGCCACCGCCGCCGTTGCCACCGCCGCCACCACCGCTGGTGTCCGTAACCACATCCCGCGAAATTAGAAAAAAAAAACCTTGCAATAGTGGCACAGTAGGGTTCCAACCCGAGTCCGCTGCGTGCCAGCCCAATATTTTACCACTGAGGTACGCCGGTGCGTGTAACTTGTCAAATTTACATAGGCAGGCATGACCTAGCACCATCGGCACAGTGGGGCTCAAACCCGGGTCCGCTGGGTGCCAGCCGAGAATTCTACGACTGAGGTAGACCGGTGCTTTTTTTCTTTAATGAATGAAATTATCACCAGTAAAGTACATGCAACATACTTCATCAGAAATCAGACAAACACACACAAGAGTCAAGAACGGGAAGCCACTCCGGAACGGGGTCAAAAGTCTCAACCGCACTGCGCACTTGAGCACCTTCTTTTCGGAAGACAGATCTCGTCGACCGTGGTGGCTTGGCGTGTCTATCAATCATGCGCCTTTTCAATAGCGAATAAAATCCGAGCAACATAAACAGGCCATAAGGAGTATTATCAGTCAGACTCTTTTTGAATAGGAGAAACCTAATACAATGAGCTGTGACTGGAATTTCTTTTCGTAGTGTTTTTTTAAGAATGTCCCAAAAATAAAAGCTTCGCAAAAATGAATAAAACAATGCTCTATGGCATCAGGTTGGTTGCAGTGTCCACAAGTTACTGTCCAGGGCACGTAAATTGATTTTTTATTCAGCCACGTTTTCACTGGCAGCGTGGAAGTGTGCAGTGTAAAGAAACAAAGTTTTCGCTGAAGAAAATATCCACACTCTAAGTACACGAAATAATACAACTTGACCGGGCAAAAGCGAATATGGCTTTCAATATTCAGGTTCTAGGAAAAGGTTATTCACAAGTGCAGCGGTTAAATTTGTTCTGTCAATAGTGTACAAATTCTCTAAGCTGAACTTGTCTTTCAAAAATTGACAGTATCAACAATTTTTTTAGGAATCCGCGCAACGGCAATTCCTTAGCGACGCTTGTTGTGACATGAATAAAAGAAAGGTGGTAACGTAGACGGTTAAGAAGAACCGCTAAAATAAAGTGTGGCACACATCCTTGAGGTAAAAAAAAACGAGACACCAACTGTCGCACGAAAAAATTCACAAGGCCAAGGCCACCCTTTTCAAGCGGAAGAAAAAGATTGTCTCTTCTCATGGGTTCCCAGGAAAAGCTCTTTCGGCTGCTGACCCGCAGAACGCGGGATCGAATTCTGGCTTTGGCAGCTGCATTTCCGATGGAGGCGGAAATATTGTAGGCCCATGTACTCAGATTTGGGTGCACGTTAAAGGATCCCTGGTGGTCTAAATTTCCGGAGCCCTCCACTACGGCGCCTCTCATAATCATATGGTGGTTTTGGGACGTTAAACCCCACAAATCAAATCAGAAAGAGCTCCGAATAAAGCAGGCAAATATCTTACGAAAGGCTTGAATATGTACACGCGAGCAGTGCAACACCTGCATAATATAAATAAGCTATGATGCAAGGAATATATTGCACGCTTTTGCTCTGGCAAAAATGGAAAGCTCCCGTCCGTGCCAAGTTGCCACCTTTCGGCGGATAGTAGTTATTGAAGTGGCCCAGTGTGGGCCGCTCTTACGATAGTTATCGAGAGGCACACCGAGAAATTTCATAGGAGTCACATTCCAATGAATATTTGCGAAGACCGAAGGTGTTTGGGCCCACATGCGTAGCCAGAATCCATAACTTTCATCAAAATGTATGCTGGCGCCAGTGACTTCACAGAAAGGTAAAGCAGTGTTGACTGCTTCTTGAATGCTTGGTCTATCTATGCAAAAGAAGGCAACGTCATCTGCATAAGCTAGAACTTTAACTTCCTCAGCATCATAACGGTAGCCTCTTATGCTAGACATTGGAAGCACGCTTAAACATAATGGTTCCAGATAAATTGCAAAAATCAAAGGCGAGAGCGGACATCCCTGACGTACAGATGAATTTAACTCTATTACATTGGAAAGTGTGCGATTCACAATTAGCCTAATTGTGCACTTCTTGCAACAGAGTGCAATACCATTGTACAGTACATCACCCAACGGCAGGTGTCTTAGGAGCCGGAACAAAAAAACGAGCTGTACCTTATCAAATGATTTTGCAGGGTCCATTCGAAACAGGGCTACTTGTTTTATGCTACCATCAATACACTCAAGAACTGAATGTGCAATATGAATGTTTGTTTGTATAGAGCGACCGCGCATTCCACTTGTTCGGTGGTCATCTACACATTTAGTAATCACTGTCTGTAGCTGATTTGTCAATAATTTAGCAAAAACTTTGTACTCAACGTGACACAAAAAATAGGCCTATATTTATTAACTCTCTTTAATGCGTCAGAATCAGTAATTTTGGGACTAATTTTGTATGGCCTTGAAAGAAAGAAGGATGAGGTTCACCACGGTCATAAGCCTCTTTAAAAAGTTGCTCAAGGAAAAGTATCAAAAGTTCCTTAAGAGCTGTGTAAAAATCGCCACTAAGGCCATCTGGGCCAGGAGTTTAGTTTTTCTGCAACGTTGTTATTGCAAATCGAATTTTCTCTCTGGTTATGGGCCCATCTACAGTAAGTCTGTCATCATCTTGTAACTGACAAACAAGCGCAATCAAGTGGTCAGCTTCTTCCTCGAAATTCTCCTGAAGGTCAGCCGCAGTGACAAACATTTCTAATAATCTTCCATTGCGGATCGTATTTCAGATGTCTCTGTGCAAAGGGAGCCCCGCAACTGAATTAGCAGTATCTGTTTAGAAAGTGCATATCTCTTTTCATCCCCGAGGGATCTTTAGTGGGCTCCTCTTCAGTGAAATGGGTAACACGGGAATGAATCTTTGCTCCTCTGTATAAATCTGTATGATGTTTTTGCTTCTGTGAATAAATCAGATTTATCTCATCCACGTACGATCCCGGCTGTTGACTTTCAAAACTATGGAGCTTGTGAATTAAATCATAAAAATTGCGTTTGTTAGCTTTTTTCTTTGCGCTATTTCACATGAAAAATAAGTGCCTGGTACTTGACTCTTTTTTAGAACCTTTCCCATTCAGCGAAAATTGGCAGCTGTCGACACTGTGTTACCTCTTGTGCCGATTCTTTTACTATTTTAACAAATCAATCCTCGCGCAACAACTGTACGTGAAGCTTCCATAGGTCCCTGTTTAGAGAGGTTTTACGAAAATGTTCAGGACCCCAAGAAACGGTGACCAAGCAATGGACTGTAAAAGATATGGACTTTGCAGCATAATTATGAATGTAAGACCATAAGCTTAGAGATACATATACGCGGTCAAGCCGAACATGAGAGATGCCTTGAAAGTGCATGAGCCTCACCGAGGAAAGTGCATGCGCTCCCACATCCATTCAATTGTGGTCATTCAATAACTTCTGCAGTAAGGTTACAGTTGCATCATAATGATTTGCTATATATGAATGATGTCTCGCATCACAAACACAGCTAAAGTCTCCAAAAACTATCAAAGTTGTGTCAGTGTGCCGCACCGAAGTTAAAGAGAGGAAAAGAGTGTTCCTGTCATTCTCTTTGGAGGGAGCATAGACACAGATAAACATTCAATTATGGTAATGAATAGATAAGTAGCAACAAATGAGGCGTCCTTCCACATCAGCATGTAGTGACGTCAAAGTATAATTCAAGTGCTTTCCAACTAATATAAAGCATCCAGCGGATGCACCACGTGCTGGGCTGATGTATAAATTGTAATCTCGGAAAACTTCCAGTGCAAGATCGGTGTTACGAGCAGCCGTAATCTTAGTCTCTTGCCCTGCAAGAACATCAATGTTGTACTGCTCAAGCACGTGGCGCAACTGCCGCTGACGCCTCACATTCCTCAAGCCACGTACGTTGAGTGTCGCTACACACATTAGCGCGGTCGCCATTTTGCTATCTTGAAACTTTTGTAGGTCACCTTTAGCCACAGTGCAACCTGTGGCTTTACCTCCTTCGCAATTTTTAGGAGCACCTTCCTGAGGACGCTGGCTTAGGTGGCACGTCCCTCGGTCCCCAAAGAAGGTGTCACGTGGAACACATGAAGACACTTGCGCTGTGGTGTCTGGCGCACTCGTTGTTGCTTCATTGGCGGCTGGTGCCTGACGCTTCCTTGTCTGACCGCTATTCATTGCTTCTTGTTCTTCATTGTCAGAAGGCTTGTATTTAAGTTCTTCCAAGTAGTGTTCTTCTGCCGCATTGCATTCACTTATGATTTCACTGGCGTCGTTAGCGATATTATTTTGCGTACTGAGGGTATCCATGGACAAGTGTTCAGCTTCCTTTAAAGCACCTTCTGCTCCTCCTGCTGCTTTTCCTGTCGCATCAACTCCCTCAGTGACATCCATAAGATGTTCCAGATGTTGCTCTTCTGTGCCTTTGCCAGAACAGACTACGTTGGCATAAGTCGACACGCAGGCATCAGACGAGTGATCAAATCGCTGGCACTGCAAGCACCTCGGTGTTTTCCACTGTCGACGTACATGCGCACTCACTTGCACAGAAGACACAATGAAGGCCTACCAGGAATGAGTACGAGGCATTAGTGGACATAGATTGACATAAGGTGTGGTATTGAGCTCACAGTGATGGTGTCCTTCAGCTCCAAGGCAACGCCCCTATTTGTTGTCATGCATTGTTACATTCCTGCACGTCTCCATGCCCCTCCCTCAACGGACTTCACAATGCCGTAAACTTGGAACGCCCATTCAACACGTCGTGATTCAAGATGAGGCGAAAGCCAAAGAAGTTTCAGTCTATTATTCTTGGTCTCCAGATCTAGCACCATGCGTGCCAGCCCTTTCACACGGAGCTCACCACAAATGACGAGTTTCTGTTCCGCCATGCTGCTTGCACACATAACCATTCATACATTGTTCATTTGATACTGACCAACTACTATGATGTCCCTTGTGCTCACCACATTAAGCAGCGCATTTTACAACCGCAAAACGTTTTACAATAGCGAAAGAACAACCAGTCATCGCACAATGATAATAGCATAACAAGTGGGCCGTCGAGTGCTCCAAACCATCACCAAAGCTTGTTCTTGTTCCCCTATTACCTGTGGCACATACCCAATTCAGCAATAATTCTTCATCGTCGTCAGCAACTGCATCGACAATTGGCACAAAATTCCTTGCAAGTGTTTAGCGCATACCAGGCTTCCCAGAAGAATGACGAAAAATAGAAGCGAGTGCTGGCCTATCACCCCAAAAAGTTATTATTAATGCCCTCTTGGGTATCAAGCAAGCGTGCTTACAGTAGTTACCCAATGAGTGTTTTCAGAAACTTTGAAAGGCTGCTCTTTTAGCGTTCGCTAGGACTGTGCTGCACCTTCTGCGCAGGCCTGGTGTTTTTTTTTCACTCACTACTTATCAACCTGCTTAACGGATGGGAAACTTCTCTGACGTGTGGGACAGAGATTAACTGGCGTACTTACCAGCAACAAGCACGAAGGCAAGCGCGATGCCTAGGAATTTCATTGTTGCGGTACTGCTGAGGTCTTTGTGAACTCGTCACGTCACTGTGAAATATAACAAAACATGATTTATTTTTAAATGTGCTGTTCTTTTAATTGTTTAAAAGTATAACTAAGACCAGACAGTATAGTTTACCAAGTACAATAGAAACTTCCTTCGAAAAGCCTACCGAAAAGTCTGGTCTCTAAACACTTCCAGAAATGTCTGCAACACCAGCTTGACGGGTTGGTCGGAGCTTCAAAAACACTTAAAACGTCCCAAGCTAAAAGCCTGGTCAATTTAACTTTTATTCAATGTACATACCGTTCAAATCTTTCGGAATGTTACATTGACATTTGGTTCATAAACGACATTTTCTATCCTGCCATAACGCCACAATGATACCCCTGCTTCTAACCAATAATTTCACATGAAGTATTGCGTTTGATGCTTTATTGGTGGATATGAACATTCAAGCAATAATATTGATAACAAGCAGTAACCTTTCGCAATAAGGTCAAATGCATGCAAAACAAGTTTGCCAAATATCAACGTTTTCACTCTTTTTATGATGACGCACCTGGGCTTCAAGATATGACGGTCGTCACTGTTAGATACAATACACACAGTATTGTCCTCACTACATATCAGCCAAATCACGTTTGAGTCGCATGAAAAGCTTGTCAGGTATTTACCTGTTGGCGCAATACCCGTATTTTGGCACTTTATGATTAAAAAAATAGGTGTTTAACTTTGTTGCTATTTCATTTTTAACCCTAAAATTTTCAAGAGCCCTACAAGTGAGTACCATAAGTGTAGTTTTTGAACGAAAACTGCAAAATGTTTTCTCGAAGGTGTTGACCTACCTTAACGAATATTCAACTCACACAGTAAACGGGCTTCTAGTAATTCGACTCTATCGAGCCTACGTCTTTCGGCCAGTAGCTGAACACCAGAACGATGGTGGCCTGATGACAGATTACTCTAGCCTCGAGCTCATCAGCAGTCATATATAGTGGATGTTTGTGATGGGTGCCTCAGGAGGTAGGCTTACTGATGACTGTGTTGTAGGGTTTTTCTACAGTTTACGTTTCAGCATTTAAACAATAGACTTCACACAGGGAATGCAAGACAGCTAACTGGGTTCAGTTTTATACCTTCCTGGTTCATTATTTCGCTACTATTATGTTAAGTTAAACTTCCTTCCTTGTTGCTTGAATCACACCTAGTAAAGGTAACAGTACCGGTTTTTTTTGTGTTGCGAATATTTTAGGAATAGAAACACTGCCGCTTCAGCACTTTGCATTTAGCAGTGCGAGAAGCTGAAGTCATGTGTTGTTGACGGTGTTATTCTGCATGCATTTCGATTAGACACTGCAGTTCGATACCGCAGTTTGCTTACTAAAAAGTGGGTTTATAATGTATGGCAAATACAAAAAGTTTAAATCGTCTGGATAAGCAGATTGTTTTATAAAGCTTTTGAGGGTGTTTCGCTAGAAATTTCTCGTGGGGTCATGCGCAATCCTCAAGATATCGCATATTTGTAGCAAACTTTCAGAAATTTTATCGCACACATTGCCAGTGATGTAACCGTCCCGAAGAAGGTTTCATAATTGAGTCACCAGCTTGATTGTACGGAAAGTTTTTAACAGAGCGCACAGCATCTATCAAGCATGCTTAATAACGTGGAGTGGGCTTGAGAGGTTGCTACATTGATTGCCATAGTTCGAAGTTGGTGAGGTGCACCCAGAGCAAAGCCTTATTATGCGCCAAGCCAACGTTGTACAAATTACTGAGAGAATCCGTATTCTATATGAACCAATGAGAGCACAAAACAAGCCAACACGAAAGATGACGACACAAGCTCATATTAATTTATTCACGTATGGTGATGAAAATCTTAGCTCCTAATATGGAAGTTTTGTACGTATATTCAGTGTATGCGTGTGCGTGTGCTTTTCTCCAAAAATCAGAGTTCTAAGGTCTTCGTTGTTAAGCACGCGTTTCTGTCTCCCGCGGAGGGCGATGTATGGTTAACGAAAAAACACTTCTGTGGAGGGGGAAGCTATTCTCGCTATCTTAATCTGTGTTGTGTTTGGCGTGACAGGCTTTCTTTTCACATCTCTAGCGGTTTTATTTTCGGAACACAAGTTGTAGTCACATTGGATCAGAGCCGCACAAAACTTTTCGATAAGCGCCATCCCCCCTAAAAGGGCTGCGCAAGGGACCTTTTATGAATGTAGCGCCAAATTTCTGCTGAGCGTGTTTGTATTCGAGCCTGTAAAACATAGCTTCGCATATTGCGGCACGACCGATAGAAGCAAAAGCATGACAGGGTTCACTAAGTTTGTGTTGTTTGCCTCGTTCAGTATTGTGTTATCAGCTGCGCTCTTTTCTATTGCAAAAAAGTGGACTTACGTAAACTTAAGGACCACATGCCTAATTCTGTCGTTTGAGAGTACTTTTTGTCATTCGTCAACAACCTCACCAATTGTATTCTGTGTCATCAACGACTGAGATTTCCCCAAATGGACTATTCAAGCTTATTACTATTCAAGCAAAGCCTTGCGTGCTTTTAGAGAGATAATAAATTCTGATCAAATCACCTTAGCCTAAACTCCCTGCAAATTAAATCGGGCAGTATTAGGTAGCCTCACCTTGTTCTCCAATGCCGCAGGCAGGATTGGTGGTGTCACTGGCGTCAATGAAAGGGTTTTATATCCAAAGCGATGCGGAAGTTGTATTGCAAGGACTATGGCTTGCCGCTGGATTTTCCCAAAAGGAAGTGCAAGGAATGATTGGGTGGTTGCATACTGCAGTAGAAACTTCGTGCTAAAATCAAGCGGCAGCGACAGTAAGCTTGAACAACACCTGTGCCGATGTGGTGTTTGTGAGGTGTTGGTAATGGTACTGCTCAAATGGAGCAAAATATACTGCATGATGTCACTTTCAACCGACGCTGAACGCGAAGTTATCGCCAAATTCATCTCTCGCTGTCTAATAAAAATGCGTAACACGTAGGCAATCTTCTTGGAAAAACAAGGCACAATTCTGGTTGAAGTATTGGTGCAAAGAAAGCAGAATTCTAATCCCACCATGGTGGTCTACTAGCTAAGCTACTCGGCTGCAGAGCCGCAGATCGCGGGATCGAATCTCGGCTGCGGCGGCTGCATTTCCGATGGAGGCGGAAATGGTGTAGGTTCGTGTGCTCAGATTTGGGCGCACGTTGAAAAACCCCAGGTGGTCGAAATTTCCGGAGCCTTCCGCTGCGGCGTCTCTCATATTCATATGGTGGTTTTGGGGCGTTAAACCCCACATATCAATCAAAACATAATTCTAAATGTAGACCTGAAGGTGTCTTAATTACGAGATACGTATTATTTTTTTAGGTTGCCCATAATATTCTGAACTTTTGCCATGCTGAATCGACAAATCTAAAACCTTTAGCTGGATCCCTCAAAAACTTGTGTACATATATTTTTCAGAAGAATTTGTAAGTGCATCGTAAATGAGCTGGGTTTCATTAGTTTGTTCAATAAATTCTTTAATGAAAATATCTCATATTTTAGATTACAGCGTTTTCGCTGGAAAAGAACGTCAGTTTAAAACAAAATCATTTTCCGGAATCACTTTGGAGATATGTATAGTGAAATTTGCTGAGGTGAAATAGATGTTTCGCTTAAAAGAGGAACGGATTTGATATATTTTAGCAGAATAGTAAAGGCGAAACATCAGTGTGTTTCATCTCCTAGTTTAGAAACTCACACTTTTTTCTAACTGGTGCCATCCTTTGGTGCACAGGCAGGACGGCCTGAGCTTTTTGCACAGAATATAGTTTTCTTTAAGCTAGTTTTTCGACGGACATTGCAGGAAGACAGTGTGAAGAACGTGACAGTAGCCTTGAAAAAAAATGTCTACAGGAACGCACACGGCGCTGGAAACACATGTGAAATTCCGTGGCAGGTATAAAAGAAACACCACGGGCGAACGCGTCAGTTCCGTCACTCAGCCAACATTTTAACAGTGCAGCGACGTCAGCGTGATTTTCGCGCTATTTTTCGGAAAACTTAACACGAGCCTCTCACAGGCATGTTTGTTGACGTTTGTCTTCTTTCAGAGATGTTCTTTCGTTGTACCTGCAGTGTAAAGATTTCCACTCTGGAAGGCAGCAAGGGTGCACACGCAACTCTCTCGAGCTGCCCGTTTCGGTCCTTTAAAATATTGCAGATAAATATCCGGACAGGTGTTCATCAGGGGCACTCGCATCATGGTAGCAACGCTGCTGTGATATAAAATGTCTTGAGCACGGTGAACTTGAATGCGAGATATTGCAGCTTGATGATGATATCACTTTTACTTCTATACGTGCATGTTTGCGTAGTCCGTGGAAATAAACCTGATAGACTGATCTTGCCGCTCCGCAAAAGCTCCTCAGCGAAAACAAACGTGGTGGGCGTACCTGGTCTTCGCCACGGGCATGTGTCAATCAATCTCATTGACGCGTGAACGCGTATACAAATTCATTGATTTTGAGAAGGCTGCAGTTCAGCTTGTGACTGTAATAGTGCTGGTGTGAATGCCAAGCTTTGATGCGGTGAACGCTAAGCGCCAGCTTCTTTGCATAAAAAACATTTGTGTGAGTTTGCACTACTAGTGCAAGGCTGCAGCCATTGAGTAGCTTGTGGTAACGTAGATTCTTGAAGCTGTTTAAGCTGGTTTTCTACTTATGTGTATGGTCCGCTTCGAAGTGAGGACCGCATCAGCTGTCTTGATTTTATGTACTAATTGGCTAAGGCTTAAAATTCAATGCACTTAGATGTATGGTCTTCATTGATAAGGTTTCGAGTGAAGGGCAATATCTCAGGCACAATCAGTAAGGCCATGGTCAGTATGCAGCTAATAAATATAGTACTCATTAGTAAAATACAAATTATAATATCAGTAAGGACTTATTAGCATGATTTCATTAGGCGTGCTCCTAATCATGGTCGCGTTAATTAGCAAGGTTTAGTTAGCTCATAAAA